GCCATTTTTGCCCTTCGTCCAGGTAACAAAAGGTATACAAATTCGCTTACTTTATAGTTTTGGTTGGAGATAGTTTTAAAAGGTTTCGCTACCGTCCTTGGGGGCTTTGTAGGCTCAGTCTGCGAAGTTTGAAGTAGAAACCTGTTTAACAAGGTAACTAATTTGATTAATCTTTAGGATTGAAACGAAAAGGGTGTATGTGCTAATTGAATCAGGGTAAAAGCAATTCTACGAATCCGTAATAAATACTAGAGTATGTTTATTATCCTCACTAAAATAGAAAAGAAACTTGTATCCAACTTGTACCTATCTACAGGTATTAGTTACCTTCTCAAGATTGTTTTAGCTTAAAAACGGGGTTTAATCCCCCCACGTAAACAGAGAGATAGCATCGCCCCAAATGAAGCAATTAAAACTCTTTGCGGGACTTTTCCGGACGGTCGTTTCCGAGTAGAAATGGGCCAAGCGAGAACTGAACAATGCGGGCTGCAATTTCAAACTATTAGAAAGAAGTGGAATGGGCACGGATGCGCTTAGTGTGGCGCATTATGAACTGGGCATAGTGGGCATTCTGGGCAAGGTAAGGTAAGCCATTGTGGAATGTGTTTCGGATTAAGTATGGAGTTTGTATCTACAGATTTTATATTTTTAAACAGCAAATATTTTAGATCATAATATCGCACTTTCTGTGTTGTAGGTATTAAGTTCTTAACACATTAAATGCCATCGGGGTCACACGCGACCCCGATGGTGTTGGAGGATTTCCCTACAACAGTATTGGCAGTCAAAGTCTTAATATGCTATTTTTAACTAGGTATAGATATAATTAGTTATAATGTTACGAGTTTGCAGAAATGCAGATTCAGCTTATTACGCACGTAGTTACCTACGTAGGTCGTGACACAATAACATGAATGAAAAAAGGCACCGTGTTAGGCATAAAACTAGTTTTTATCAGTAAGCCGACCAGTTCTATCTACTTCATCAAAAACCTAGTTTCAAAAAAAGCTCTCAGTACTAACAACCTGAAAAACCCTTCAATTTACACGTCCATGTTTTAGTAAAACTGGTCGATGATTCGATTTCGTTGCTACGCGAGTTTCATCGGACGATTTTTTTTTATTTTTGTTTTTATTTGGTCCACGTTCATGTACTAGACCAATTTGTATCAAATTGCTGTGGCGAGAAGCCGATATGTGGCGCGTGGCGAAGTAGGACGACCATGTAATCTGTATCTGGATAAAGTGGGAATTTCGCAATACACACCAGCATGGCAGCTTCCTGCAGCATGCATGAGTATTGTGAAATTCTTTACGCCAAGTCCAGGTAACAGAATTGATACGATAGAATAGATTTGATAATAGGAATGGTACGATAAAAAGCTTTGTAGGGAATCTCTAGTGGAACGTTGAGTACAAAATTAAGTAAACCCAAAATACAACAGCTTCCTTGGCCAAAATCGAGTAGAAAAATAGGATTTTTGAGATTCCTATGAAGAAGTTCCGAAAGGTTTTGTCTATCAATTGTTTTTATGTCCAATGCCCATCAAAACAAATGGTGACAACACAAGGGACGCATGCGACTATATTTAGATGACTTTATATCGGGACAATCGGGTTGCGGGTCAATCCGACCTAATGCGATGACGTCACTGGCAACGGAAGGGTTAGATAACGCGTCAGTGCGTGCTCGTAAATCTAAAGTGAGCGAGGGTTGTCTTAGGATTTGAAGGAAATTTGGGTGATTTTAGATGTGTTTAATAAAGTGTTGACAAGAAAGGGTTAAGTTTCGTGGGTACTGAGGTGGAACTAATTAGCCAATCAGAGGTATTTAGGTGGTGGTAGTGGAGACAATATAGTTCATTAAGAAAATGGGAAAAAGTAAGCACATATTTGTTTTAACTTTAGTATCTATAACCTATCTGCCTCGTTGGCCGAGCGGTCGCAAGTACGACTGCCGGGCTAAGGGCCTCGGGTTCGATTCCCCGGTGGGGCAAAGTATTGATGAGGACTTTTTTAAAGTTTTCAGTAGTAGCACGGAGTTTGAAATTGTGCCCGGTATATGGCAATAGGCTCACCTCCTATTACATGGGACTCATAACATAAATAGTGAAAAGTGGGTGTTACATTGTACAGTGACATTAAGTGCCGTAATGTGTACCTCTGCTTAACCCTTTGGGGATAAAAAGTGTGATGTTATGTTATGTATACAACCTAAACCGCTTTTGAAAAATTTTGATACTGAAAAGGATGGAATTTTGGGGAGATTTGTATCATTGCATGATAATCATAAACTTAATAGTAGTTTGAATGAACTTAAACTGCCTAAATCAATTAAGAACATCAATCCATTTCCTTACAATGCTCACACGTACTTATTTAACACAATCAAAGCTTAATCAACAGAGGAATCTCTTGACCTTACAATAGCCTTCGTCCAACAATCAGAACAACATAGCTACACAGTAGCTAACCAATCATAAATCAATAACAAAGAGACTTGCGGCTGTTTATAGCTCTCTATTTTGATGATTTTCCGTAGATAGATTCAGTTCTACAGTCCTAATAATGCCATTGACGGACAGGCATCAGCATCCTCCAAAATTTTCAGTGATCTAACTACGATCGCAATCCCCAAGTCGTCTGATACCTGTCAGGATTATGACATTCCTTCTGTCTCATCTCTCTAACTAAAGCTCTTAAGAGGGTTAGCTGTCGTTCAGTTTCCTGCCTCTACATGATCCAGTTACTGATGATGATGGGATGAGACCATTAACACCAATAGGTAATTATTTTTTTAAGGAATAGTAGGTAAACCAGCATACAGATCACCTGATACTGAATACGCTCTTTTCTTGAAGGTTTGAAGGTCGTATCCGTTCGGAAATACCGCCTCAAATAAATAGGTAATTTGGATCGTTAACGCAAATAAATTTTTAGACGACTTTAATAAAGAATACCAATCCTAACACATGCCTTAGAGCATTCCCTGACCTTAGAAACAGCCTTCATCTAACTATCATACCTACATAATTACTGGCTAGATAATCACAATGCAATAACAAAGGGATAGCGTCTGTCGTTAGCATGATGATGATCTCTATGTTTTTAAAATGAAGACTTGACAAGTAATACTTTGAACGGTTTGATGTACTTTAGTTGCCTATCGTATTGATTTTTCTATTTATTGCCGCATCTATTTTTAGTTTTGTATGCTATCTTCACCAATACTACCAACCAAAGTACGATAATGCGAACACAAAATGAACACAAAACAAAAGAACGTTAAGCTATATAGCTGAACAAAATTGAACAAAAACCCATAGTCTCGTAAACGCGCTAAGCGGCTTGTAACTTCAATACGACAACATCGTAAAAGTACTCGCTTTTGTTATGTATTGTAAATAGGAACGTACTGTAGATGTGTATGTAGTAAATAAAATTTAACGTCTATTAAACTGTACCCTCGGTTTATAGCGCAAATCGATAGGAGCATCCTGGAGGCGAAGGCTGTTTGTGCTCATTGTTGCGTGCGGTACGAGAATGGTTTTTCTGTAACGTGTTTTTCAGTGGGTTTTAGTGCTTTTAAGTATTGATAGGTTGTTGTCACATATTTGTTGCCTGTATAATATTCAGACACCTGTCCTAGTAGCAAATATATCAAGTTTTTCAATGAAAATCCAAATGGTGTTTGCAAACGCACCCATGATTTCTCAATTAATGTGGAACCTGGAGTGTAGTCCATGAGCCTAATGTTAAACTATATAAAACCAAATAAATTATTATGTTTTCGGCTTACTCACGTAATTGTACGTCGAGGAACTCGACTAGTTTCAAGCCACGTTAGAGGCTCATATTCCGAAAACGATAGCCGAAAACATAATAATTTATTTAGTATGTCTCACGAAAGTTATAATACATATATAAAACCATTATGTATATTTAGAGATATCAGAATTTCCAATATGTTCAGGTAGTGTAACCACAAAGTCAAAACTACACAACATTGTCAATTTCTTCTGAGAAATAAATAAAGAATGCACATGTAAATGTAACGTGGATCAATGGACTCGCCCCACAATACAAGAGTAGGTCACAAGCTGTTTCGAAATACATGTAGGAGAGCTCAGTAGTGTCCTACTGTCCTGCACAACAAGGTATACTAAACCAGTATAAACTGACCGTTGAGTGTGTAGAAAGATTATACAAAGTCAGACCAAGATACACTGGTATTGTATAGTTTGATGGGCAGCCGTGTTGTACACAGACCTTTATCAATAGTCCAGGAGCACACGACACGCGACCATTGTTTTATGAATATTTCAGTTGACTTATTGATTTTCATCGAAACTTTGAATGTTTGTAAGACACTGAAATAATGGAAATTGGTTATTGTGGGTGAATGTTTGGAGGGTTTTTAATAGTGTGGGATGAAGGGGGAGATTTGTTTTAGGTACCTACGTGGGAGGATAGTTACGTCGGTAATGTTAAAAGGTCTTATCTCCTATCTGTGTCCCCTTGAGAAATTACCAGTAACTTTATGTTTACTTACGTTACGAAAAACTTACCTAGGTATAAACTTAGGTAAATATTTAAGGTTTCTTTATTAAGTATTTATCTGCTTACTATCAACTTGATAAATAATGCCAGAGTCGCGCTTAAATATCGTGCCATCTCTGTATTTTACAAAGAATTTGTAGTGACAGAACTATGTATACATAGGCGCGACTTAAAATTAAGTAACAGTTCAGTATTCCCGTATAAGAATATTAACTAAATTGACATGTAAGTGATTTTGTCGCTTAGATAGCTATTAGACCTCCGTTGATATGTTCCTGTCACAAAAATTATCTTAAGTATTATTAGCATAAATCCATCCATCCAATCGGTCCAAGTGTAGGATATAAGCATAATCCATATCCATAGGGCCATAATCGAATCATCAGTCCATTTATAATACGGCAAAGATAAAACACATAACGGTATAAAAAGCCTACTAACCTGCATTTCTGGCGAGCCTCCTTCATCCCTTATAAGGAGAAGATAGCTATGGCCGTCGATTATCACTTCCTTCTTGAAGCGACCACCTGCGATTGTACAAATAAAATTAATAAAAAGAATACAAAACATATTCAGGTCACTTAAGTATTGTTCTAAGTAAATACTATACATTTCTAATTAAAAAAATATGCTTTTCAAATATAGATCGAAACTCACGAAGTGATTATTGGTATCTCAAATTCTCAACGGTCTTATTATTTTTTTTCTAATACCTACCTAAGTAGGTACCTACATTACCTACATTAATCTTTGAAAATCGGAAAGTTAATCATTGTTAATTTGTTCTAGAACAGAATAAATCAATGAAATAAATAATTAGTTAGTGCAATGCTTGTTTAAAATTTATCCGGCCTGTATTGATAATGTATGTGACTAAATAGGTAATATTTGTGTATAATTGTATATGCATGCATTATGTATTGTATGATAGGAATTTCGTTACAGTCAAAAAGTCCTATTATCCTATATTTTGTGGTACCTCTACTATCTTGCGTCGGCAGCAGTGACCACTTACCATCGGGTGGTGCCCCTGCGAGTTCGCCACCAAATAACAGAAAAAGTTGATAAATGTAGACTATTTAATGATATTTTGTAACAGAAAGTGCGATAGTAGAAGATAGAAAGCAGATAGATGTTTTTAGGTAACAATAATCAATTACATTGGTTGAATCATCAATCAGCTATCATCCATTTCCCACGTGTAGGGATCTAAAGGTTTCCATGTGAGTATTTATCCACCCACGCGAGAAAGAGCGATATTTCAATGTCGACGTCCTCATGAAACTAATAGGACAGCTAGGAAATAAGATATACCAATCTGGGAATAAGTAAATTTCTCGCTATTATCGCTGTCTCGGCGATAATGATCGGGTCTAGTGTGGGTAGGAAGCAAATAAATAGCACTTGTAGTCCTACGCACTAATCAAACCCTCGAAGAGAGTGTAATCAGTGCAATAACGCCCTCAGTAGTGCGTTGAACTTTCCAAATAGAAATGTTGGACCATAGACTGCCATCTAGCGGTGTAATAAGGCAACGGTCCACGTCACTATGTTACTGCTGCCATCTATGAGAACTAACTGTTACTACGCATCGTTCAAGTTTACTGAACGTAGAATGAATGTAGTTCTGCTACTCGACGCTAGATGGTGCTGTAACGAACGTTTTGTTGAGCGCGAAATTTCGTGTTCTGACATAATGAGTGTTAAATTATTATTTTTTAAATAAAGATAATACAGACCTTCAGGACTTTCTTCTTGCATATACGCTCCAGTTAAATACCGATGTACTAGAGCTGATTTTCCACTGTCTGGTGAACCCAAAACTCCAACCCGAAGTTCTGTTACACCTCGTGAAGCTGTCCATTCTTGACTATTCACAAATGAATCTGCAAAAAAGAAAATAATGTCAGTATATTTTACTGTCACGCACTAATTCAAAGAGGTATTTTAAAAATCGTCACTTAAAACCGTATATATTTTAAAAGAAAATAGATGGCGCTGATCATTATAATGCTTATGAATTAAATTTTACTTTAAATTACACAACTCGACAAATTATTTATTTACATGACATTAAAACAATACAAGGAACTAGGAAGCAACACACCAAATACAATAAATCAACGACATTTAGGTAAAACATTACGGCGAAATAAATGTATAAAATATTCATGTAATGCAATAACTTTCACCAGTATCCCATTACTTCCTGGATATTGACAGAACGTTAGATAAAACCGAGGAATGAAACTAGTTCTGTCGCACGGCAATCAACTGTGACCAGACTACAGACGTAACTATAAACTTGTTCGTTAAGTATTATTAGCACTTTATAAATTATTGTAATTAATGCATAATGTTATCTCATATTCGATAATCCATTAGCTTATTAACTCAAATGAGGTAGGTATATAACATTTACATTGCCTCGTTGGCCGAGTGGTTGCAAATGCTACTGCCGGGCAAGGGGTCTCGGGTTCGATTTCCGGGTCGGGCAAAATATTACTGGGTTTTCTTTAAAAAATCTCAGTAGTAGGACGGAATTTCGAATTGTGCCCTGTATATGACAATAAGCTCACCTCCTATTACATGGAACTAGTGAAAAGTGGGTGTTACATTGTACAGTGGTTTTAAGTGTCGTAATGCGCACCTCTGCCTTCCTCTTCAGGGAATAAAAAGGCGTAATGTTATGTTATATAACATTTAGTCTTAATTCAATATGAGTGGGTATAATGAGAATTGAAAGGATGCTCTTATCGGTAATTTTTGAGATCATTTTCAGGTAGAAGTTTGGTTTTAATTCACATATTGCTACGTTTCCTTTCTGCGAGGGGTAGAATTGCATTTTAAAGTATACGTTTTTTCAACAGTTATACGTATTAGATAATATGTTTTAGGTAAGTAATGGCATTAGGAACTGATAACTACCAAAATTAATAACTTATCTCAATAAAAATCTTTAGATTAAAATCAATTGTTCACATTAGTTCTATTGAATTTATATCAGTCGTTTCTAAATACGACATCTATATCTATACATAATTATAATAAAATCGTAGAAAAGTCAAAACTGTACATTGATTATTTTTCTAAAAGAATAATATTAGGTTCTTGAATTTTTCGTCTGTTTGTCTGTAGGTATGTCCGGGATGATCTCAAGAAGTACTGCATGGATTTACTTCAAATTTTATATGATTATTACTAACAGGTCGGGTCAACATTTAAGCTACATTATTATCACGCTATCAGGTACGGGGTAAGCGCAGTAAATCACTATTCCACGCGAACGAAGTCGCGGGCACAGCTAGTTTGAAGTAAATACGAAAAAGATATTTAAAAAGGGGTTTTAAACACAATATAAAACATTTCAAACTTAAAGAAGGAAACTTTGAGTAATTGACTAATTTGATAATCTGGAGACCGATTTATAAATTATTAAAAGGAGATTTGTAGGCTATATTTTATTTGCTAGAGTACCTAGGCACTGATTACAGACATACACTTCACATGTAGGTACTAAGGTGTGCAAATCATTGATTATAATAAAGTTATATCAACTGTACAAGTCGGGAGTTACGCAATGACTATATATACCTACCAAAGTATTCATCATATATTAGGATACATTATCGTTGTTACGTTAAGAGAACATTTTCTATTTCTGTTAGGTACTGAGTGCTACCTGATCTTGTTTACCAATATATTTTTAACATAAATATATCTAATGGGTTAGACAGAGTTACAGCGATACATTGGAGTATATATACATAAAATTGTCATAAATATATTACTCCATAGTGTACATAGTATACATTAAGTCAGTATAAAATTGTGTGGGAATTTTCCTTTAGCTTAGAACTGCAGCTACACTGTGAGAATAATGTTCCAATATTATGGTCTGACACTCTAAATTCTAAAATGTTACGACAATCATCTTTTACATGTTTGATCTGACACGGATGATGGCGCGAGGGTTAAGCCGTAGCGATTTTCACGTTAGAAAAAAATGTTATAAATAAACTTAGCAATAAAAATAAATAAATAGTAGGTACTCAATTGAACTTGACTCAAAGGGAACACGTTGAGAACCTTCATGCTACATTTATTTAAATAATGAAGCAGGAAGACGAGCTGTCTTAGTCTAGGTGCAATCAAGTTAACAGGAACAAATGGTGCAGGAGAATGTAAAATTAAAAATGTTAATACTCGTCGATTTGAGAACCTCCTCCGTTCTTAATCAACTAAAAAATCGCGAGTGCTCTCGCTTCCGCTTATATTCTGTACCGTCCAATTTCACGGGCAAACTGTGACAAATATGGCTGGACGATGCCAACCATTGATCTTCAGCCACGCACAGGAGACTTATGGTAGAGAGAAGAAAATAGACTTTTTATTGCCATTGTGTCATATTATAATGTCTTTCTAAAAAAAAACATTGTAGATGACAGTGTTGTAATCTAGGTCGCGACTGCCGAGCGATCCAGGGGTCGTGGCTTGTATTATTTAGACGTTACTAAGTTCTTATTGTGTAGTTGGGTAAAAAACGTATATAACAATTATACATTGACAATAAAATTGAACGCAAAGATTTATATATTTACGATACCATAACATCATCATAACACCACGCCTTTCTTCCCCAAAGGGGTAGGTAGAGGTGCACATTATGGCACTTAATACGGTAATGCCACTGTACAATATAACATCTACTTTTCACTATTTATGTTATGAATCCCATGTAATAGGGGGTGAGCCACAAATCCAGACATCGTGCTACAGTTAGGATTTTTTTTTAAAAACCCAGTAATACTTTGCCCTACCCGGGATTATAACCCGAGACCCCTTATTCGGTAGTCGCACTTGCGACCACTCGGCCAACGAGGCAGTCATTTTTACGATACCGTTAAGAAAAAGTTCCTGTATGATGTATTTCACAATGACTTACGAACTATCTGAAGCAAACGTACAAAGGAATTTCACATCTAAAGACAAACCAGAATAAAACACAGTACAATGACAATGATTGAGGTTTACACAGCACTAAACACAATTTGATACTCCATTACGTACAGAAATAGTGCATTTAAAAACTAGTAACCATTGCCCAATACAGACTATAAAACGAATTCCATAAAGAAAAAAGATACTCAAAAATTTTACGACATGTTTACAACGAATGAAATCAGGATCATTATCGTATGTTGCGCATTAAATTACTCTTTATTGCTACTGAGACGGGCATAAATCAGTTTTTAGCCAGGGGTCCTATAAACCCATCTATATAGGGTTAAATTAACATTCATGGTACATCCCATGGGGTTTACGACGTCGTCAAGGTGTGAAACGAGACCTTAATCGTGTTTTTTGGCACTCGAAACTTATAGGGTCGGTGGTGTTTGTAGGTAGAATTTATGAGTCTTCTTTTCAAATTGGGGCTTGAATGAGTAGGTACATGAGTTTTAGTGTGTACTTATGAATGTAATAACTGTTTTGAATGTTTTATGGTGTTACAGGTACAAAAAAAATTATGTCTGTCTGTCTTTTTACTTGTTTTTTAGTCTTTAATTAATAAATAATTTATTGATCAAAAAGAAGCTGTGTGTTATTAGAATTAGTTTTCAGAACCAGATTTAAAAGAAACTAAATTTATAATTTCAAACACAAAGTACGTATAATATATTATAATATTACCAACGACCGTAAAACTAATTAGGGAAATTGTCTGCTGTTTTCATTTTCATATAATAATTTGGAAATTAATCCTTATTACTTTCTATTAAAACATCTCTTGAAATGAAATTCATTCCCGTCCAATTTTATGATATTATTGTGGTTTCGCTAACAAGGTTTGCTTTACTCAGGCCCAAATTAAATATGTATACTTTGAACTATTATATAACTAAGATACAGTTTAAAGTAAAACGCATTTACGATATACGTACCTACGATATAGTAAGAAAAAAGTTTTGATTGAAGAATGAGAGAAAGGAAAAGAATCTTCAGTCATAAATCAACAAAATTACAAAAATGATGCATCAGAATAAGCAACCTTACACCTTTGACCTACAACAGAAATTCCAATAACTAATCTGATAGACGTGGTGGAAGTAATCAAGTATTACTGGAATTCAATATTGGAAGTGCCTTCATACCTCAAAGTCTGTTAGACCTGCCTTAACAAGATTATGTTGACCTAGGTCACGAGGTAAATGCAATTCCACCTTCGATTTCCACCCACAGTATATGAGCAGAGCAAAACTCTCAAAGAGTCTTTGAACCTAAGATTGCTTTAGAGGTTCATGATATTTTCTACTTAGTCCAATTGAGGATTTTGCGGTGGAAGTGGTTAGGAACAAGAAGGTAGATATTTTGGCTAAAGGTTAGATAGGAGTGCTCTTCATTTTACTAAATTGATTCGTATCATTACTTGGTTAGATGACAAGTATTGCTTGATAAACCAGACATGGTTTGAATCTCACAGTTAATATTGACGATTTGGCAAGCAGCAAAATTATTCTCGAATGTAAAATTTGTGAAGAGACAAAACTTCTTAGAAAACTTCGTATTATATTAGATATTTCAGATTGTTTTTTTTTCAGCATAGATCGTCCCACTACAGGGCAAAGGCCTCCCTACCCTCCATCCACTCCTCTCTATGTAAAGCTTTTTGCGGCCAATCTTTGTTATAGATGTCTAATTCGTCCCGCCATCTCCTTTTGGGCCTGCCGCGACGTGTACTGACGAATATTATATTTAGATTGATTACTAAAAAGAATTACTTTTTGTCTAATCTTATTTTCATTGTCATGGATACAGCCGGAACTATCATTAACGATCACATTATTTAGTTAGCACTAAATCCAACAGAGTTCTCGGTACTCACTGA